ACCATACCATACCATACCACACCACACCATACGTACCATACCGTACCATACCATACCATGGCGTACCATAGCATACCATACCATATCACACCAATGCCACACCGTACCATACCATACCATACCATACCTCCAGTACCATACCATACCATATCATACCATACCGTACCATACCATACCTACCATACCATTCCATATCACTCCATACCGAAAACCATACTACTTACATGGTTTCGTGCCCCTCCCACCCCTCCAGGGAGGCCCCGCCTGAGCGAGGAGGGTATCGGAAAACCATACTATTTACATGGTTTCGTGCCCCTCCCACCCCTCCAGGGAGGCCCCGCCTGAGCGAGGAGGGTATCCGAAAACCATACTATTTACATGGTTTCGTGCCCCTACCACCTCTCCAGGGAGGCCCCGCCTGAGCGAGGAGGGTATCCGAAAACCATACTATTTACATGGTTTCGTGCCCCTCCCACCCCTGCAGGGAGGCCCCGCCTGAGCGAGGATGGTATCCGAAAACCATACTATTTAAATGGTTTCGTGCCCCTCCCACACCTTCCAGGGAGGCCCCGCCTGAGCGAGGAGGGTATCAGAAAACCATACTATTTACATGGTTTCGTTGCCCCTTCTCTCCCAGACTCTCAGGGAAGCGGCCCCGCCTGAGCGAGGAGGGTATCGGAAAACCTTACTATTTACATGGTTTCGTGCCCCTCCCACCCCTCCAGGGAGGCCCCGCCTGAGCGAGGAGGGTATCCGCAAACCATACTATGTACATGGTTTCGTGCCCCTCCCACCCCTGCAGGGAGGCCCCGCCTGAGCGAGGAGGGTATCGGAAAACCATACTATTTACATGGTTTCGTGCCCCTCCCACCTCTCCAGGGAGGCCCCGCCTGAGCGAGGAGGGTATCGGAATACCATCGTATTTACATGGTTTCGTGCCCCTCCCACCCCTGCAGGGAGGCCCCGCCTGAGCGAGGAGGGTATCGGAAAACCATACTATTTACATGGTTTCGTGCCCCTCCCACCCCTCCAGGGAGGCCCCGCCTGAGCGAGGAGGGTATCCGAAAACTATACTATTTACATGGTTTCGTGCCCCTCCCACCCCTCCAGGGAGGCCCCGCCTGAGCGAGGAGGGTATCGGAATACCATACTATTTACATGGTTTCGTGCCCCTCCCACCCCTCCAGGGAGGCCCCGCCTGAGCGAGGAGGGTATCGGAAAACCATACTATTTACATGGTTTCGTGCCCCTCCCACCCCTCCAGGGAGGCCCAGCCTGAGCGAGGAGGGTATCGGAAAACCATACTATTTACATGGTTTCGTGTCCCCCCTCCACTCCTCCAGAGAGGCCGCGCTTGAACGAGGAGGGTCGCGGAAAGCAATACTCTTCGCCAGGTTTCGTAGCCCTCCCCCCTTCCAGCGGGGCCCCGCCAAAGCGAGGAGGGCATCAAGAAAATGGGTCCCACGAAACCGTTAATATCTTTATGTGGGGAACTCCGTTAGCATAATATATGTATTGTTTCGAATAGTAGTTCCCGTATTGTTATTGGCTTCAGCAGTTGTGTAGTAGGTAGTAGTAGTAGTTAGTAGTAGTAGTAGTAGTAGTTGTGTAGTTGTGTAGTAGTAGTAGTAGTTGTAGTTGTAGTAGTAGTAGTGTAGGAGTCGTGTCGTAGTCGAGTCGTTAGTCGTTAGTCGTAGTTAGTAGTAGTAGGTCGTAGTAGTCGAGTTAGTAGTAGTAGTAGTATCCCGTAGAAGTAGTAGTAAGTATGTAGTAGTTGTAGTAGTAGTAGTAGTGAGTAGTAGTAGTAGGTAGTTTAGTAGTGTAGTAGTGTAGTAGTAGTATTTGTTGTAGAAGTAGTAGTAGTAGTAGTAGTAGTAGTAGTAGTAGTAGTAGTAGTAGTAGTAGCAGTAGTAGTGGTAGTGGTAGTAGTGGCAGTAGCAGCAGCACTGGTAGTAGTAGTGGTGGTACTCGTAGTAGTAGGGGTAGTAGTCGTAGTAGTCGCAGTAGTAGTAGTAGTAGTAGTAGTAGTAGTAGTAGTAGTTGTTGTTGTTGTTGTTGTTGTAGTAGTCGACGTCGTAGTCGTAGTCGTAGTCGTAGTCGTAGCCGTAGTGGTAGTAGCAGCAGTAGTAGTAGTAGCAGCACTAGTAGTAGTAGCATGCGTCTTCTTATTCGTGTTGTTAGTCTTCTTGTTGACATTATTCCTCCTCTTTATTCCTCCTTCTCCTCCTCGTCCTCCCTCCTCTTTTTCCTCCTCCTCATCCTCCTCCCTCCTCCCCCCCTCCCTCACTCCCCCCCTCCTCCCTCTTCCCTACTCCCTCCATCCCCCCCTCCTCCTTCCTTCCTCCTCCCTCCCTCCTCCCTTCTCCCTCCGCCCTTCTCCCTCTTCCCTACTCCCTTCCTCTTCCCCCCTCCTTCCTCCTCCCCTCCTCCCTCCTCCTTCCTCTATTCTGCCTCATCCCTCCTCTCTCCTCCCCCTCGCCCACCTTTCTCCTCCTCCCTCATCATTCCTCCCTCCTCCTTCTTTCCTCCTCCTCCTCCTCCTCCTCATCCGCTCCGCCTCCTCCTACTCCCTCCTCCTCCTCCTACTCCTCATCCCCTCCTATCTCTTTATCCACCTCCTCCTCCTCCTGCTCCTCCACCTCCTCCTCTCCTTCTGCACCTCCTCTCCTCCTCCTCCACCCTCCTTCTCACATCTCCCTCCTCCTACTCCTCTCTCCCCCTCCTCTCCTCCTCCTCCTTTTACATCTCTCTTTACGCCCCTCCTCCTGCTCCTCCTCCTCCTCCTCCTCCTCATCCTCCTCCTCCTCCCACGCAGGCCTTCACGGAACGACGGGGAAAGATGGAACATTCTTGATTTTGGCGTTGCAAATTTGTCGCGCCAGGCGGTTTGGCACGGTTTCGGGCTCCGAAACTGTCACATACCGATCCGTCTCGAAAAGTGCAGCAGAAGGATTTGGTCTATGGCGACAGTTTCACAGATCGCAGCCCCCCAGGGATGGAGAGGTCTAATTTGGGTCCGCCCGTGGCGTCACTGTGTTGGGCCCCCCCAGCAGGCCTCGAAAGTGGCGACCGTTTCACAGATCGCAGCCCCCCGCAGGCAAGACAGGAGGAGG